CATTTTTTCTCTCAGCGAGGACCCCAAAGTGACATCATAATGTCACTTCCAGGTCAGGACAAGAAGGGGAGAGGACATGTCCGTTCTCCTCCTCCCCTCTATCCGATGCGGTGAGCCAGTCCTGGGCCCTCAGATGGGCAAGTGGAGCCTGGGAGACCTCACGTGGGGGGGGGGGGGGGGGAGTTCACATGTTGAGGGAGGCTGGCACTGTGTGGAAGCAACCAGCAGCAGCGCTGCTGCCCAAATGCTTCTGCCTGACAGATTAGCAGGGCTAAAAGTATAAAAAAAACAAAAAAAAAAAAACAAACCCTACCTATGTAGTCAAGCAATATGAATTGCACATCCCTGATGTTTACAGCCATGGATAGCTCTGCCTCCATTCAGCCTGTCATTCAGTTGTACAACCTCAACGACTGCCAATGATCTAGGATCCTGGCCATGGGAATTTGCCATCTACTTGCTGTAGGAATCTGCAGGAGAGCTCTTTGTTGCCCACGTGAATGAGGTCCTAAGGCCTGGTTCACACCTATGCATTTTTCAATGCATTTTCAGTTTTACAGAAACAAGTTACAGTCCATTTAACATGGTTTCCTATGAGTCACATATCTGTGCGTTTTCCACCAGTGTGTTTTTTGGAAAGGAACAGGGACTTTTTTCCGCAGCAGGTTGCGTTTTTGGTTTTATAGACTTCAACTGAAATGCATCAAATACACATATAAAAAAAAAAAACCTCAGTGCTGGTGTTTTTTATGCATTTCTGCTGGTTTCTCCCACAAGACAACAAACACCTCCCAAAAAAGCAAACCACATTAAAAACGTGCCAAGAAAAAAAAAAAAAAAAAAAGCATATGAGAAAAAACACAAAACACTCCAGAAGAACACTTAAACCTGCAACCTGCATAGGTGTGAACTAGGCCTAAATGCATTTTGGCGTCTCAAAGCGAATCACACAGAGTGCTATGCACGAAGGAATATAGCCTTTGACTCTGTGTGCACAAGACACCTCATAATGCCACATTTAGAAAATGTGTGACTGTCATAGAGAAAGTAGACAATCTCCATAGAGGTAAATTAGCTATTGAGAGAAGTCCATTATTAAGGGGAATTTTATGTAAAAGTAGGTCTGGTCGGCACCATCAGGCCAATATATTAAGAGGACATAGGCTGTGGTACTGCCCTCATCATGTCTGTTTTCTCATCACATTCTGCTAGTCTGAAAATCCACCCCATTTTGTTATTCTTTAGGCCTCATTCATACTATATGTGCAGAAAAAAACTGATGGGAAAAAACGTGCAGATTTCACTAGCACAGCACATTTGAGGGAATTTTATACACGTTGCAGAAAAAATATCCGCACAGGATAGTAGTGTTGTGGTGTAAACAGGGCACATAGAGAACCATTGTTTTTTTGTTTGGTGTCCTTGCAGAATGCATGCACAAAAAAAAAAAACTGACTTCCCTGCAGCATGGTGTGAACAAGGCCTTAATATCTTTTCTTCATGTACTAACCTTTGATAAACGTAAAACAGGTTCAGAGTTTATTAAGAGAACAGTGGCAGCAGCGGCGGACTGACAACTCATGGGGCCCCCAGGCAATTGGGGATCATGGGGCCCGTGTCCTTGCCCACACTCAAAACACACCCAAAAAAAAAAAAAGACTATAAAAAAGGTACCAGGGGCATTTTATGGGGCCCCCTACTGACCCCGGGCCCTCGGGCAGTGCCTGAGTGCTCGAATGGTCAAGTCAGCCCCTGAATGGCAGCATAGCTGTGTTCTAGGGAATTTGCCTTCCATATAAATCTACTTGAAGTTTTGCTGGCATGTATTTACATGTATACATGTATTCCCGCAGAAAAGAAGGGCCTGTTCACACATAACTGTGTGGTAAAACCATCCGTTTTAGCATGCAGACTGCTGGGTGTTCTGTGCCGATGGCGGGGAACGGTGCCTTACCAACACAAGGCATGGCAGCGCTGAGCAAACTATTGGTGCTTTATAAATACTGAATAATAATAATAATGGTTTACCCATTATTTTTTTTTTCTTCAAACTTTATTGAAATGTCAAAGTGACATTTCATTCCTGTCTATTTACTAGGGATGCACTGAAATTTCGGTCACTGAAATATATCGTCCAAAAATAGCTCTATCGGCACTTTGCCAATAGGAAAAATTTAGCCGATGCAGGTGCCAATACAGGGGACTGTGTGTACTACAGATGCTGGGACAGCGGCGGAGAAAAGCAGGAGAGGAGCAGTGTATACAGTGACTGGCTGTCACAATATGTCAGTACCGGTTTTTAAATGCAATTGTTGTTTTTTTTTTTTCCTTCACTATAGGTCAGAGAATCAGCTGTCACTTTCCCTGTGCTAAAAGAAACAAAGTTTCATTCATTCTCTGAGCTATGAGGAAGAAAAAAAAAAAAAAAAAAGCCGGCAAAAGCATTTAAAAACCGGCATTGACATGTAGTGACAGCCAGTGAGGGAACCTCGCTATATACACTTGTCCTCTCCTTCCCCCTCCTTGCACACACTGCCCCCCCCTACCCCTACAAACATGGCCTATCACATAGGGGACTATTGGTCCCCTATGTGATAGCAATAAAATCATAAGTTAAAAGAACATGAAAAGTAGAAAAAAAAAAAAAAAAAAAACCACACACCCACACAAAGAAAATAAAAAAAAATTGGAGCCTCCCCACTCCCACATACGCAGATATTTCAGTTTCTGTTCGGTTTTCGGCCACGTGCATTCTGAATGTTCGGTATCGGTACCAGAATTTTCATTTCAGTGCACCTCTACTATCAATCACAGTGGACCTGTGGGTGGGCTGACCTACACGGACATCAGGTTAGCACTGGTGCTGTGGTGTGAACATAAAAAATGATTGCCATTGTGATGACTGGTGTTGATCCAATGCAGGAGAAAAAAAAAAAAAAAACACAGTCCCTGCAAATGGTGTGAATGTGTTAAATGCACTGCAGCAGCCACATTGTTTTGTAGCAAACATTATACAGCATGCCGTGTTTGGTAGGCATCACTTCCTGCCAAATGTAACCATCAAAATGAATAGGGCCATGCCACAATCATGTACCAAGCGCTCGGCACACGGCTGCAGTTTTGGAAGTTCAATTTAAAGTCCTCCTTAAGATAAAAAGAAAACAAACAAACAAAACATGCATTCAGGAGGTGACAGCAGAGGTGGGACAGGGGGGGGGGCAGAAGATGCACATGCCCAAGGCGCAGTGTTGATATGTGGAGGAAGGGGTGCATTGACAGCTTTAGCAGTTCCATTATCCAGCACCTCAACGACTGGAGGGACTAAAACATCACTTAGACAGAAGGAACAGGGCCACAGTGACTGCTGGAGGGAGAATTCTGCTCTCTCCCCTTCCAATAGCATTCTATGATGGCCAGGAGAGCGGGCAGCCAATGAAAAAACATCTCCATCTCAGTGTGGCACTGCTTATGTATGACCTAGGAATGGGAAGGAGAATCTGCCTTCCTATCCAGCAGGTGGGTGGGGGTACAATCAGCCTTAGACCTCCACTCTTCCTCAGAACCTCCACCTCCCCAAGAGGTCCTTAGATCACTCCCCCTTACAGCCTGTCAACCCCTTCCTCCCCTATAGTTCCCCTAGATTTTTTCCTTCCAGTAACACCACTGATGCGGGCACATTTTTTCCTTCCAGTGACACCACCAAAACAGGGACATTCCTTCCAGTGACACGGGGACTTTTCCCTCCAGTGACACCACTGACACGGGGACATTTTTTCCCTCCAGTACCATATTTCCTTGGCCATGGTTAGCCCCATAATAAACTCTTTAGTTCTCTGCAGTGTACCACAAATATTGCTACTGTTCTAGCACATGCCACAAACATTACATCCATTTCAGCACACTGCATGTGCAGCTTTTAGCCCCATTTCCAACTCCACTTACTCTTCCAGTAAGAATGGAGGGGGCACAGTTTGTCATTTTCAGCCTAGGCACTCCAGCACTATCACCGGTATCATCGGCTCTACCACCTTTTAAAAAGTGATACACCATGGATGGCTTTTCAGAAGGCCAGTGAGGTGTGCTGCTTGTGTGAATGAGTCCTAATTGATGTAACCTTTCCATGTATGTACAACAAGTCAGTTCCAATGTCAAGCAATGAGCGGACTTTGATGTGTACATTTGGTGGGTATTTAATTCTGGGGTACAAGGGGCAGGGCCGGATCTAGGGGGTTGCTGGGATTGGCTCACAGTAGCTAAAAGGTTAGCACTACCACCTGGTAGTACTAGGGTTGTTTGTTCGAATCCCAACCAAAGCACCACCTGCCTGGAGTTTACATGTTCTCCCTGTGCCTGCGTGGGTGTACTCCGGTTTCCTCCCACACTCCAAAAACATGCTGGTAGACCTTAGATTGTACGTCTCTTGAGGGTTAGGGACTGATGTGAATGTACAATATATATGTAAAGCACTGCGTAAATTGACAGCACTATATAAGTACCTGAAATAAATAAAATAGTGGGCTGACCCCCCCCATAGATTTTGGTCTTGCCCTCCCAGGGCCAGTGGCACCAGCATAGCAGACCCCACAATGAGGCACTGAAGCCCATGTCAGCCATCGAGGTGCACACAGCCACAAGGAGGACATGAAAGTGTGTGGATATTTTGAAACCCCCCGACCAGACCGGCTCAATCCAGCCCTGACAAGGGGCCCACTGAACCTGAGGGGCCCCCACGGTCTACATATGGCCTGGATGGTAAAGTTAACCACATGTAGCTAAAATGTGGATCCTTCAGAAAACATTGGATTGATGTGGAGTTCCATATATTGTCTATTAGACCCAGAGATTGGTTAGATGTCAGTGAGCCAATTCTATAGACTGCCCTCCTTCTGCCTATTATGGGATGCCATGGGGGGGGGGGGGGGGGTCCCATTCCCAGCCAGCCCTGGTGTGTGTGATGATGAAGGTCAATGATGAGGAGTATGGCCCCAGCACAGGCTCACCTGGCCAGCTTGGAGCGCCAACTGTACAGCGGTGTCCATACACTCCCTCCAGGGGTCCTCAGCCTGTGCCTGCTCCGCTCTGCACTGGGGATCATCATGGAGCCTGCGCTCATCTCCGGCCGCCGTCTGCTGCTGCCTGCCAGCTCCTTCACAGGGCTTCATGTCTCCTCTTCCTTCCTGGCTGTGCGGGGCTCTTCGTCTGTAATGGCAGCTGTGATCGCGGACAAACAAGCGTGTCTAGGTGTCCTCCTCCACAGGGGGTCATCCACCTGTCTGTGCTGGTCTGAGCGCCGTGTGCCAGCAGACATGCAGCTCCCGAGGAAGAGGATGCCCGGCGATGTACTGACTGACAACACTCTCCCCTCCCCCCCCCCGCCTCCTCCGATGATTCTCAGCAGCACCCTCTGCCTCTCACTCACTCTCATCGCTTTTGTTATTACTCCCACTCTCCTCCCCCCGGCTGCCCGCACCGCCCCCTTCCGCCCTGTCCTATAGCATCAATACAATCACCGCCCATCGTGCCAGGAGGTCACGGATTGGTGGTTTGTGGGCAGGACCGCCCCCCACTGCCCTGTCCTATAGCATCAATACAATCACCGCCCATCCTGCCAGGAGGTCACGGATTGGTGATTTGTGGGCAGGACCGCCCTCCTGCCAACCTGTCCTATAGCAGCAATACTATCACCGCCCACCCTGCCAGGAGGTTATGGATTGGTGCTTTGTGGGCAGGACCGCCCCCCACTGCCCTGTCCTATAGTATCAATAGAATCACTGCCCACTTTGCCAAGAGGTCACAGATTGGTGCTTTGTAGGCAGGACCGCCCCCCCACTGCCCTGTCCTATAGTATCAATACAATCACCGCCACCCTGCCAAGAGGTCACAGATTGGTAGTTTGTGGGCGGGACCGCCCCCTCCTATAGCATCTATAAAATCACCGCTCACCCTGTCAGGAGGTGACGGATTGGTTCTTTGTAGGCTGGACCGCCCCCCACTGCCCTGTCCTATAGTATCAACACAATCACCTCCCACCCTGTCGGGAGGTCAGGGATTGGTTGTTTATGAACAGGACTGGGTCTCACTGCCCCGTCTCATAGCATCAATATAATGCCCGCCCACCTTGGCGGGGGTCACGGATTGGTCATTTGGGGGCAGGTCACGCTTAACGGTTCTGCAATCGCAGCTTCTGAGTCGGGCACTATGTATATAGAACTCCTTATTCCACAGGTGGGGGGCTATTTTTAGAAGGTCTTTTCCACAGATGTGGGGCTATTTATAGAAAGGCATATCCTGGGGGGGAGAGCTATTTATAGAAATTCGTTTGTTACAGGTGGGAAGATTATAAAACATTTTAACCCAGGGGGGTGACTATAGAAAATCTTATCCCACAGGTGGGAAACTATTTACAGAACATCTCATTCCATGGAAGACTATTTCTAGACAGACATATCCCATTGGTGGGGGGTTATAGATAGTATGCCTTAGACCTGGTTCACACCCATGCGGTTTTTAGTGCTTTTTGCAGAAACATGCTACAGTCCATTTAACATGGTTTCCTAAGAGACACGTTCACATCTATGCCTTTTTGAGCTGCTGCGTTTTTAGAAAGGGTCAGGGCTTTTTTAGAATATAAGAAAACACAAGGGGGCGCCAGCCTAAGTGCAGTATGTATTACAAGTTTATTTAACCAGTTCCCTACCGTGCTATAGCCGAAGGACGGCTACAACGCAGTTGCCTGGTTCTGGGACGACATCCATGGACATCATTCCAGAACGTGCCCCCTACGGACACAGCTGATCAGGTAATATGGTAAACGGCCAATCACAGTGGCCTTTTACCATGTGATCAGCCGTGTCCAATGACACAGCAGATCTCTGCGTAAATACAGTTACTGATTATCAATATATAGATAATAAAGGTACAGCACTATTAATAAAAATAGTGAAATATCAACATACACTCAATCTTTAAGAGTATACAAATAATGATATTAGATCATATTTTTCATCTAAGATTAATCCGATGTTCAATCTAATGTCCAAAAACACGAAAGGATGTGATTTGCGAATTCTGTCGGGTCTCCTTTGCCAATAAGGGTAAGTGATCCAAAGGTGAACAGGAAATAAATTAAATGCGCACTCACCAGAAGTGCGTTTAAAATACGCATGAAAGAAGTTTCCTCTCATCAGGTACATCTAGGTCCTCCGCACTCAGGTCAAGCTGCGCTCTCTGGTCCTCACTAGTCATCCATCATGGCCAGGTTCCCTGGTTCCTCAGACACTCATGCACCTCTGGGGTCCCTCCTTAAACTTGGTACTGCGAAAGGGTGGCGCTCATAAAGAGCACAATAAGGGACATCACATAGCGTGATACTGCATAAAAGCACTTTATTTCCAGAAGTATCGGTAAAAACAAAAGCAAAAAGTACTGACCGCAATGTTTTCAGAATCGCCACCAGCGGTGGCATAGATGTCCAGATGCTGTAGCCCCCCTACGGACACAGCTGATCAGGTAATATGGTAAACGGCCAATCACAGTGGCCTTTTACCACGTGATCAGCCGTGTCCAATGACACAGCAGATCTCCGCGTAAATACAGTTACTGATTATCGGCTGCACTTTCCTCACGCTGTCACAGCGTGAGAAAAGTACTGCCGATAACCGGCAATTGTCAGAGAAGTGATTGGCACTGATGATCTGTGCCCAGCAGTGCCAGCCACCTGTGCCCATCAGCGCTGCCCACCTGTACTCATCAGTGCCACCCACCTGTGCCCAGCAGTGCCGCCTATCAGTGCCACCTATCAATGCCGCTTATCAGTGCTCCTATCAGTGCTGCCTATCCTTACCACCTCATCAGTGCCCATTAGTGCTGCCTATCAGTGCAACCTCATCAATGCACATCAATGAAGGAGAAAAATTACCTGTTTGCAAAATTTTATAACAGAAACAAAGAAAAACCTTTTTTTTTCAAAATGCTTGCTCTTTTTGTTTATAGCGCAAAAAAAATAAAACACTCAGTGGCGACTAAATACCACCAAAAGAAAGCTCTAGTTATGTGACAAAATGATAAAAATTTCATATGTGTACAGTGTTGCATGACTGTTCAATTGTCATTCAAAGTGCGACAGCGCTGAAAGCTGAAAATTGGCATGGGCATGAAAGGGGTATACGTGCCCGGTAGGCAAGTGATTAAAATTTAGCCAAATAGCTACTCACAAGACAAAAGGGTATACAGGCGTTAGATTGTGTCCTCAATAGGGCCAGTGTAAAGGCCGGTAATCTCGTAGTACCTGGGTCCCAGGAGTAGGATGTGGATGTAAGCTGTCAGCGAGAGACGCTGTGACCAGTGCCGTAACCAGCGTGGAGCGCACGGAAGTACGGACCACTAGGATGACCAATGGGAATATAAGGACAAGTCAGGTGATGAGTCAGGTGATGCGTTTCAAAGCTTCCAATTTTTATTCAGAAAGGCAAAGTGGAAGCTGTCTCTCGGTGACAGCTGACATCCACAACCCACTCCCGGGACCCAGACACTACTAGAGATTACCAACCTTTACACTGGCCCTTTTGAGTACGCGATCTAACGTCTGTATACCCTTTTGTCTTGCGACTAGCTATTTGGCTAAATTTTAAATAAACTTATAATATATACTGCACTTAGGCTGGCGCCACCTTATGTTTTCTTGTATTTCCACAGAGCCTGCTTCACTCTATGGGGAGCTGCCACCTTTTAGTGCATAATCATGGACTCTATGGACTTTTTTATAAATGCTTCTATTACATGTTTTTAACCTTTTTCATTTAATACTTGTATTGTGGTGTTGCGGTGTCATTGTCTTCTCTCAGCGCCAATAGCTTATGTCTTTTCAGGGACTTTTTTAGCATGCTGGTACGTGATTGCCCCCAGGAATGCTATGTTCACTGGCCAGGACACTTAAAAAAAGGAAGAACAAAAGAGTTCCTGTGGTTCTAGGAGTGCAGTACTCAAAAGGGGGTGGCTAGGACTGGTGTCTCACAGGAACCTAGTCAGCAGGATGTGCAGATGGGTCAGACTGCAGGCAGAGACGTGGTCAGCAAACAGGCAAAAGAGTGGTCCAAGCAGAGACGTGGTCAGCACACAGGCAAAAGATTGGTCCAGGCAGCAGGCAGAGATGTGGTCAATAAACAGACCAGAGTTAGTATAAGTGACAGGCAGAAGCAACACTGTACTGGTGTGTCTGTGATCAGGGACACTTGTCTGATGACACTGAGACTGCTGTAGCAAGAATCAGGGACAGTACTGGTGTGGTGACACAGTGACTGGTGTGGCGGTTAAAATGAACACTGCTGCTTGCATACAATGGTCTGATGACATTGGGACAGGTGTGGTGGTGATCAGAAAAACTCTTGCTTGCTGCACTGGTATGGTGTGGTGGCAATCAGGAACACTGATTTTAGTTACATTGGTCTGGCGGCACTATGGCTGGTGTGGTGGTGATCAGGGACACTGTAACTGGTGTGAAGGTGATCAGGGACACTGTAACTGGTGTGAAGGTGATCAGGGACACTGTAACTGGTCTGAAGGTGATCAGGGACTCTGTGTAGGGCTTCTGTGTGAAAACACAGGGGGCCTTTACCTGACAGCCCTCCCCCCCCCCCCAAACATATCAAATCAATATTTTCATCAAAAATATAATAAAATCATTATTAGCAGACACAAACATAACATAACTTACAACATTTCTGTTAAGTGTAAAAGATAAAACTGTAAGCCAGCGGCAGAAGGAGAATTTGGCTTTCAGCTGCTGTAGAGAGCTGCACAGGATATTGTTCTGTAATTGCTCCTCCATCCTGTCGCACAAATTACCCCTGCTATCCAGGCCCTCTACAGGAGGACAGGTGACTATCGGCGGCCCTGCCGACACAGCCCTGTTCTTACTGGAGGAGCTGAGGAACGTTGGAGGGAGGCTGGATACAGGTACATATCCCTCCGCCAATAGCTGTGGGTGGTGACCGGAACTATAGTTTTGCTATCATCAAATGCAACCGCTGCGGCCTGCAAGGACAATTAAAATACGTTCCATGGCTACAGTGGTAGCCACTGCCTTTTGCTGCCCTCTCCTGCAATAATGGGGCAAGGGAAATGTGGCATTACTTCTGTTCACTCCATGTGTGTGGCGTGTGTC